TTGCTGTATGTGGGACACGGCCTCAGCATGGCTGGAGAAGCGGTGCGTCGGTGAGCGCCCAGGATCTGAACCCGGGCTGCCAGTAGTGGAGCGCGTGCACTTAACCGCTAAGCCACAGGGCCGGCCCATCTACTTCTGATTTAAATGCTCCCATTCTTGTGTATTTTAATTCTCTGTCTATATTAAAGCCGATAAGGCATTATTGTTAATGTGGCTTTATGAAAATCATAATTGCCCATACTACCCATTTACCCACATCTATACCTTTCTATTGCTCTTAATTCCTTCCAACCTCTCTAAGCTTCCAGGTGGAATCATTTTCTTTCTGACTGAAGAACATCTTTTAGCATTTCCTTTAGTTCAGATATGCTGGTGATGAAATCTGTTTTTGCTCATCAGAAGAATGTCTTTATTTTATTTTCTTTCTTAGAGGATGTTTTCATTGGATAAAGAAGTAGATTCTTAGTTATTTTCTTTTGACACTAAAAAGATACCATTTTATTATCTTCTGATTTCTGTTAAAAAATCAGTTGTCAGTCTAAGCTTTGCTCCTTTGAAGTTGATCTTTTTTACTCCCTGACTACTTTTAAGATCTTTTCTTTGATTTTCTGTAGTTAGTACTATGATATCTCTCAATATAGTTTTCTTTTGATTTATTTTACTTGGAGGTTTTTAGGGATTCTTGAATCTATGCTTTGATGTCTTTCATTAGTTTTCAAAAACTTCACCCATTATTTCTCCAAATATTGCATTTGGTAAATCCTTTCTCTCTTTTCTTTATGGGACTGCAGTATGCATATATTACCCCTTTTTACTCTGTCTTCTGTTGCTAATGTTATTTTTAGTATTTTCCATCCTTTTCTCTCTCTAAGCCTCTTGTTTTGGATATTTTTTTCTTGTCTATCTTACAGTTCATTCTCTCTTCAGCTGTGTCTATTCTGCTGTTAACCTTAGCTGCTAAGTTCTTAAACTCATTGCATTTTTCACTTCTAGAGTTTTGATTTGGTTCTCCTTTATAATTTCTAGTTCTATACTCCAATTCTCAATTTAAAGGAATTTCCTCCAATATATTCAGAATAAAGTCTGATAACTCTATTATCTGGATCCCTTTTGGCTCTGTTTTTATTTGTTGTTGTTTATCTTGTTGCTTTTTTTTTCATCATGCTCTCTTGTCTTCTCATGTGCTGGTTAATTCTTATCGTATGCAGAATGTTGTGTTTGATAAATTGTAGAGATATTTTGAGACACGGGGTGATAAATTGTAGAAATATTTTGAGACGCGGGGTGATGTTATCTTCCTGCAGAGAAGATTTTCATTTGCTTCTCGCTGATGGCTAGGGTACATTATCAATTCCAGGTATTCTTAATCTATTTATAGGGGTTGAGATAATTTGAATCAGGATACACTCCCTACAAGAGCTGGAGTATTCCTTGTTTATTCTTACTCCTAGGGTGCAGACCTAAGGGGTCCTGACCCAAAGAGCTAGAGGTTTATCAGGGCTTCCCCTTCTTGGCAGACCCTGAACTCCAACTTTTGTCTCTCTAGCTCCTCAAAACTATCAAAATCTCTTCTCATTAGGGTCAGGTAGTTGGGGAGTTGATGTGGCTATAACCTTATAAAAGAGTAGCATGAAGGATCCCCATGGGGATGGAACTGTTTTGTATCTTTTTTAAAATTTAATTTTATTAATTATTATTATTTTATTGAGGTAATATTGGTTTATAACATTATATAAATTTCAGGTGTACATCATTATATTTTGACTTCTGTATAGACTACACCGTGTTCCCCACCAAAAGTCTAGTTGCCATCCGTCACCATACACATGTGCCCCTTTACTTCTTTTGCCCTCCCCCCACCTCTATCCTCTCTGGTAACCACCAATCTGTTCTCTGTATCTATATGTTTGTTTGTTTATCTTCCACGTGACTGAAACCATATGGTTATTATCTTTTCCCATTTGACTTATTTCACTTAGCATAATACCCTCAAGGTCCATCCATGTTGTGCAAATGGCAAGATTTCATCTTTTTTTTATGGCTGAGTAGTATTCCATTGTATATATATGGAACTGTTCTGTATCTGGATCGTGGTGCTGGTCACATGAATTCACACATGATAAAATTTCATAGAACTAAATACACACACACACACACACACACACCAATGAGTGCATGTTAAACTGATGAAATCTGGAAAAATTTGGTGGATTATATCAATATAAATCTCCCAGTTGTGATATTGTACTGTAGTTAAGCAAGCCATTATCATCAGTGAAACTGGATAAAAGATACATGGGCTCTCTCTGCATTTTTTTAATGTGACAAAATATACATGATTTAAAATTTACCATTTTAAACACTTTTAGGTGTACAATTCAGTACCGTTAAGTATATTAACAATGTTGTACAACCATCACCACTGTCCATTTCCAGAACTTTTTCATCATCCCACGCAGAAACTCTGTATCCACTGAATAAGAACTCTCTATTCCTCCCTCCCCCCACTACCCTTGGTAGCCTCTATCCTACTTTCTGTTTCTATGAATTTGCCTATTCTAGGTACCTCATATAAGTGGAATCATACAAGATTGGTTCTTTTGTGTCTGACTTATTTTATTTGGCATAGTCTTTTCAAGAGTCATCCGTGTTGTAACATGTATCAGAATCTCATTCCTTTTAAGGTTGAATAATATTCCATTGTATGTGTATACCACGTGTTGTTTACCTATTCATCTGTTAGTGGACATTTGGGTTGTTTTTACCTTTTGGTTATCATGAATAATGCTGTTATGAACATTGTCATACAAGTATCTGAGTCCCTGTTTTCATTTCTCTTTGGTATATACTTAGACGTGAAATTGCTGGATCTTATGATAATTCTATATCTAACTGTTTGAGGAACTGCCAAACTGTTTCCCACAGCAGCTGCACCATTTTACATTCCCACCAGCAATGCACAAGGGTTTCAGTTTCTTCATAGTCTCACTAACATTTGTTATTTCCTGCTTTTTTTTTTTGTTTTTTTTTTGTTTTTTTATAATAGCTATCCTAATGGTGTGAAGTGTTAACTCATTGTGGTTTTGATTTGCATTTCCCTAGTGACTGATGATATTGAACGTCTTTTCATGTACTTATTGGCCATTTGTATATCTTTGTCAAAATGTCTATTCCAGTCTTTTGCCCATTTTTCAACCAATTGTTCATTTTTCTGTATTATTTCTTACAACTGCATGTCAATCTGCAATGATCTCAAAATAAAAAAGTTTAATAAAAAATTCTTAGGCCGGCCCCGTGGCTTAGCGGTTAAGTGCGCGCGCTCCGCTGCTGGTGGCCCGGGTTCGGATCCTGGGCGCACACCGACGCACCGCTTCTCCGGTCATGCTGAGGCTGCGTCCCACATACAGCAACTAGAAGGCTGTGCAACTATGACATACAACTATCTACTGGGGCTTTGGGGGGGAAAAAAAAATTCTTTCATTTTCTCAGCTTGTCAGCTCCCTTTTCCTAAAAGCAGCTGATGTCCTTAAGGGAAAAGTTGCCCCCAATACGTAGTTTGTCTCTGTGGGTTTTCTTCCCCTCCCAAATTTCTGCCCCATTGTTCTTCCCTGCCTTTTTAGCTCACCAGTGCCTCCAAGCAGCTGTTTTAAACATTTTGTCTAGCTTTTCTAGCTGTTCTCAATGGAACAGTTGATCCGTATTACCTAATCCACCATTATTGGAAGTCTCTTTTTGTTCAGCTATAGTTTTGCAAAGGAAAAAAAATGTTTCAATAAATTTAAAAGTAATTTTCTAAAAGCTCTTTATGAAGCTTAAAAATAGACTAAATCTTTACTCAGTAAAAACATTTTTGCATGAGATGGAGATAGTATGGACTAGGTATATGATGGGAAATGGCACAGTTTGTTCTCCATCTTACAATATTTCAAGAGAGGAACATGTGCTTAAAGCATTCTTATTGTCAGAAGAATACACTTATTTTATTAGAATCTCCTGCTTAAACATCATCTCTGCAAAGAGGCTGTGTTGGGGGTCCCCAAGACCACCCCTTGGTTTAATGATTTGCTCGGAGGGCTCACACTTCCTAGAAAAATCAGCAAAAGGCAAAGGTGCGTGGGGCGAAGTCTGGAGGAAAGCAGGTGCATGCTTCCAAGAGTCATCTCCCAGTAGAGTCACATAGGACATGCTTAGTTCCTCCAGCAACTTGTTGTGACAGCATGTGTGAAATGTTGTCTGCCAGGGAAACTCACCCAAACTGGTTGTCCAGGGTTTTTGTTGAGGATCAACACATAAGCATATAGCCCCTATACGAGTGACCTCAGTTACTGAAGCTCCACTCCTCCATAGGGAAAGCAGGTGTTCATTATAAACCACATTGTTATCATAAACTATCTGGACAAACAGGTATAATGTGACTCAAGGCCTCAGGCATTCAAAACCATTCTTATCAGACAGAATATTCCATGAGCTCAGTTCCAGGTGCCAGCCAAGTCGTGAAAACAGGCCTTCTCTGAGAATGCACAGGGTTTGAGCAACCCAGGTCTGCTAAGTTAATCCTTTTCCACACAGAGGTTTACCCGGACCAAACCTGAAGAAGGAAGTACCCCTTTTTACTCTCTAGTCCCTCACCCTGCAGTATGTTTCTTAATGGCACTTGTCACTATCAGACCTTGGGCTATATAATCCTTTGATTATTTGACACTAATTTAATAACACATATTTTATTTCTTATTCCTTACCATTCTTTCTCCACTAGAATATAAGTTCCATGCGGCCAGAGACTTTGTTTTGTTCACTGCTGTATTCCCAGTGTCTAAACCAGTGGTTGGCCTATAGTAGGTACTCAACAGATATTTGTTGAATAAATGAATGAAGGAAGATTACCATTTACGTAATTACTTAGGAATGCCAATAGTGTTGACTGGATCTAAATTATTGGGACATACTGTTATCCTATGAATGACAAGTTTCTCATCTGTTTATTTCTCTCTCCTGAACAGGTCTATAATTCAGTAGCCAAATCTTTCCCTCGAAGATTTATTTTGCCTTTACATGTCAGTTTGAATGCCCCTGAGGGAGTGAATCTCAGCCCATTGTCCTATTCTTCAGCCAGTGCTGTGAAACAGCCTGACGGAAAGGTATGCTGTGAACGGACATTAGACTAAGACTTTGAACTTTAACAGTGTTACTTTATTCATTAGCTGTTCTCCACAATGTTTGGTGCCCAGTAAGTTTCGTAACATTCAGCTGAGCAGGGTAAGATCTTGGAACATTGCTTGCACAAGAACCGCAGAATTCTGGGTGGGAGTGAGTACTGTGTACCTATCCTTTTGTGTTTTGAAACAGATATATGCAACTTTCTAATGGTTGTGAAATGTCTAAGTATTTGAGATTGGTATTACCAGCCCCACCTTTTAGATAATTTGTGCTTATCACAGGCATGTCATTATGTAGCTATCAATGTCTTAGCTTTAGTAGAATAAAAAGTCCATTTCCACCTTCTATGCCATTTGACAGCTTAGTCACAAAACCCAGTAATCTTTTATGCATTCATATGCATGATGGAAAGAGGAACAATATAAAAAAAAGACATAGAACCTCAGTTTCCAAGCCCTGTCACAAACTCTTATAGGGTATTAGCCCCCTCACTGACCTACGCTGAAGAAAATCAGTGAGAATTAAGAATCACTACAAATCCTTTTGGAACTTTTTCTAGATTTGGTGCTCTTATGAAAATCTACATCCCGAGGACCTAGAGGAGGAAGGAGGTATTGAATTTCCCCAGATCAACTATGGCCAATTCAGCGGCAAAAAGTATCATTTCTTCTATGGCTGTGGCTTTCGACATTTGGTGGGGGATTCTCTGATCAAGGTTGATGTGGTGAACAAGACACTGAAGGTAATGAAAATCTCCTTCCTTTTCCGAACTCTTGAAAGAGACCTGTTCTGCCCTTTGAAGTAGTTTCTTTTTCTTTAAGGTAGCTCTTGAGATTCTTTAGTGTTTAAGCAGCTCAGCCATTTACTTTTGTTAAGTTTGAGAACCATGGAATCACCTAGGTTAGGGGGTATGTTCCCTCTAGGGAATCTCAATGAACCACAAGCCCAGGAAAATAATCCTGTGCTTGATGTTATTTCGAGAGAAATCATCAGGTTAAGGTTGTTGGGACATCTATATTTCAGGTTGGTGGGAAGTTATAATTTCATAAATTGTGTTTGATGATGATGGAATCTGCAGCTGCAAAAACTCCGTCTCTCTCTCTTATTCAACTCAGGGAGCCTGATTCTTTTTTAGTTGGAATATTATATTGACAGTCAAATTCATGCTGTGAGTGAAAATAGCTATAGAAAGCTTCCAGCCAATAACTAGACTTTTATCAAATTCTTTTTTTGGGACTTACAGGTTTGGAGAGAAGATGGCTTTTATCCCTCGGAACCTGTTTTTGTTCCCGTACCAGGAGCCAGTGAAGAAGACAGTGGGGTTATTCTCTCTGTGGTGATCACCCCCAACCAGGTATTTCCCTGTCATTAGTCAGAAAGAAAATTAGCACTGAGCCGTTTGAGGGTTATATTTAGTGATGCGATGGATAGTTTATTTTGATTCCAATATGGCACCTTCTCCCTTCTCTTCCTTTCCTTACTATTTATATACCCTTTTATCATAATCCATACTTTATTATTATTTTAAAGTTCTATTTGTAGAACCATAATAATAATTTACATTTGCATATGAATTTATTTACAAACTACTTTCATATATATTATCTTATTTAGTCATCAAAACAACTTTGTGGGATAACATTTTACACACGTGGAGTTTGTAACTTAAGGAAGTTGAATGAGACTTGCATCAGATCTCATAGTGGTAAAGCCAGTATTTAAATCCCAACCTTCTGACTTCTAGTCTAATACTCATCCCATCTTCTGTGCTGCCAATTTCAATTGAGTGACCCAAAAGTCTAATGTGGTAAGCCCTGACCTAGTGTCTCAATAATGTTGATATCTAACTTCTCATCTAGGTCAATCTTGTGGCAAATAGGTTCACTTTAAGTACCAGTTTTGATCAATTATTAGTGGCTGCCTGGGATGTAGGATTCCGAGGCTTTTTAAGGGTTTGGTGAGAAAAGTACTGTGATCAATTAGTAATGTCTGCCATGGGTTTAGGAGGACTTAGTCCTCATACCATGTACTTGCCATTCCTGTAATTGGACCAGGGAAAATCTCAGCTGGCCTCGCAATGCTACCTTTTGAACAGCTCCAAAGTAACACAAAACGGAGGCATTTCTAATGTGGAGGAAAGAATTTCTGTGTCTCTGAGGAGACTGAAAAGGGCAGGTAAAAAGATCCTTAAACTCAGAGAGATCCTATGAAGGTGATATAAACAACTTAATTTTTTCGCTCAAAAATGAACTTCTTCAGCTATAATTTCCTTTTTAGTCTAGTTCAGCAATTCAGCAAACATTCAGTGAATGGATAGGCAAGGCACTGCGCTAGCTGCTGGGGATAGATATGAAGATGAGTAGGACATGGTTTCTCCCTTAGGAATTTTACAGCCCAGTGGAGGAGACAGATTTTTGATAGGGAAAAAAAACGAATTTTCAGTATGGTCTTTCTTTTTCTAGAATGAAAGCAATTTTCTCCTAGTCTTGGATGCCAAGAACTTTGAAGAACTGGGCCGAGCAGAGGTGCCTGTGCGAATGCCTTATGGGTTCCATGGCACCTTTGTAACCATCTGATGGAACAACCACAACGTCTGGGAGCTAAGTTCAAAATGAATGTGCTCTGTACAGAAGAGAGAGCAAAAGGGGCACTTTACCTTCCAAACCATAGACATCTGGTTTTTAAATTTCTATTAAAAATAGAATTCATGAGATAATTATGGTTTTATATTTTCTTGGGGGTCTTCCTTGAAAACATTGAGCAAGTGTTGACACAACCTTTTGAAGAGAGTTTTAAATTTATATTTACTGGATATATCTTCCTCTAGGTAATATGAATACATGAAAGAAAAACTAGAACTGGGTCATTACCAGCACCAGATATATGGGTGACAGAGGTCCTCACACTTAGTGGAATAAATACAAATAATCATAGATAGTAGAATATGAATATAGATCTGAATAGTACCGTGTATTTTCCATCACAGCCTGCCTGTTATCGCTGGTCCTAAGGTACTCACAGAGGACAGGCAGCCGACTATGTCATGCTTGGAGGCTTCTTCTAAACTGGCTGTTTCTCTCCTGTCCACGCAGACGCCACTGCAGTTGAACCCCCACTACCACCTCCCACCCTGCCCCCAGCTCAGCCTTGAGAGGGTGTTTTTTCGAGGCACAGCCCTAAAATCAGGCATCTTCTAATCTCCAGGTGTATAGTTCTTCAGAGATTGATGAAAAGTCAATAGTTCTTCAGTTAGTTGGACAACAGGTGGCACTAGAGACCATATAATCTCCACATTTCTAAACCCCAACAGTTTTTACCAATAGCTTAAATCAACCCGAGGTCTATCACTTAAACCACACTCTTGCTGACACCTTCAAAATCCCTTGTTCCCTTCCTTCAGTTATATTCCCTCCCTCTGCTGAACTCCATCCCTGGGCCAGTTAAACTGTCCTCACTCCCTCTGCATGTTGAATGTTGCTGGAGAAGCCCCCAAACAGGTAGTTTGGGGCACCTGTGAACTCATGATTAGGCTCACTGCACAGTCCTGGACCAACATAGTCAATTTCTTCTCAATTTTCCTTAAGAGTTATGAACATCACAAACCATATACTCTTTAATGAAGTATTCCATGCATACAAATGCCATGTGTGGGAGTTTACGTTGTAGCAATAAAGTAAAAGTTCTAAGTTTTGTGTCTGGGTTGGTGAGATACAGAACAACAGCAGCAGGTACAGAATGGCAAGAGGATACCTAAACAGAGTTAAGATAGCAAATGTGGGAGCTTAGAGGCTGAGGTAACCAAAAGAACATAAATCATCTGCTATTTCACAGAAGTCCTTGAAAAGGCATTGTACTCCCCAGACAAGACATGGAGGTTTGATCTAGATTTATCTGGATCTGAATGGTGAAAGAGACTCTGGTAGACATCTAAGAAGTACACAGATCTGATCACATCTTTCCTCTGTTTATAAACCTTTACTCCATCCTAATACATAGCGAGTGAAGTTTAAGTGTATAAAGGTTAGCAGTATAATCATAAAATTTTGACCGAAAGATGCCTGAATTCTGCCTTGGCCCTACCATCTATAAGGTTCTTAAAGGAGAAGACAAAAAAGGATCAACAACATTTTATAGTCTAAGAGCATATGCCTGGTAATCCAATGGAGAAAGTACTGGTAAAGTTGAGTGAGCATATGACTGCCTCAAAGACTAGGCAGGGCCTCTTCCTCTCTCTAAGCCCAACTCATCACTGGCCAGTGTCCAGAAACTCAAGGAAAGGGAGTATGTGGTGCACAAGTGAGGGGAAAAAGGATTTGGGCCCACCCTAGCGACCTTATCTTAACAAATTACATCTGCAAAGACCCTGTTTTCAGACAAGTCATATTCTGAGGTACCGGGGGTTAGGACTTCAACACATTAATTTTGGGGAGACACAATTCAACCCATAACAGGATCACTGAGGGTGAATTTGGTGAGTACCTTTATATAGAATTAGCTTTAATAAAAAAAATTTAGAGCAAGAACACTTCAAATGCAATGATTAAATTTTTACTGAAGCAAATAAGTAAAGCAATTTCTCAGAAATTCTTTCTACTTTTTACCTTTTATTTTATTTTGATTCTTTAAACTGTTTTTGGAATGAGTAAAGTGTTTATGTAACCCCACTGTTAAGAGTATTTATCTCTGAGGTAGTCATTGCCTGGGAAATATCGTTTATAAGTGATCTTGGATAAGTAATTCACTTATGTGGGCCTGTGTTTTCTTATCTGTAAAGTGAGAGGACTGAACTAGATAGTCTCTATCTCAAAAATATCTGAAGTGTATAATTCTTTGAGAAGTTCGTTCTTTACAGCCCGATGGAGAAGGTGAGAAAAATATTTGAAAATGTGTGAAGAATGTTTGCTACATAACATATAAATAATTTAATGCAGAACAAACAATATATAGCTGGAGACAGGAGACATTTGAGAGAAATCACCATTGGGGCTTACATTTCTGCCACTGCCATGGTTTTATCTATCCTTCCCAGTGCCTGGAACAGTACCAGCCACAGAGTAGATGCTCAATAAATATTTAATGAAAGAATGAACGGAGGCAAGATGTGACATTGTACTGGGAATTCTAAGTAGTTTGGACACTCCTCATGAGTAGATGTGAGGAAACACAATGCTTTCACCACTCCAGAGGTGTCTACATTGGACAGAGAATTGCTGTGTGTGTGTTCATGAGTGCATGTGTTCACATCGTGCCAACCGAGAGTGATAGATGGGTCCATGCATGTGTGTGGCTGATAAGAAAAGCTTGAGAATCTCCCTTAGTAAGAATCTTCACAAACGGTCCAAAGGTAGTACCAACTCTGAAACCCACGTGCTCCTACACGTACCTTCAAATTCCTGCTCCCTTTATGCTTTAAGTGCACTGGCCCTGGGACTCATCTCAGAGAAACCAGAGACTGGAGGTTCGCTGTTGTAACCCAGGGCTGTCTAGAAGGGAGTGGGAGGGGTGGCTCAAAGAGGTCCCTCCAGGACTCAAAGTGTGTCCAGATTGACCCTAACCGCGTGACGTGGCCTCAGGCTGAGCAGACATAAAAGTGAGGGACACTGAAACCCCACCCACCTAATCTGATCGCTCCAAGGTACACCTAGTTATCCGAACTCTTGGTAACCCAAAAGCTTCACCAGTTACAGCCTCCAGGCCGGCAGAGGGAGCCCAGCCGCAGGATGAAGCCGAGAGCGCGTAGCGGGGCGCCGCCCGCACTGCGCAGCCGCGGAGAGGCTCCGCCCACCCCAGTCCACCGCAGGCCAAGGGAGCGGGTGCTGGCGGCTGTGAGGCGCCCCTGCAAGGTGATGAGCGTGGTGGGCTCCGGCGGTCGCCGCCGGGCGCGAGTGTCCCGCCTCGTCTCCTTCAGCGCCACCCACCGGCTCCACAGGTGGGGTGTGCCCACAGTGCCAATGGTGGCGGACGAGGTCCTCGGGTCCTGTGGTGGGGGCCCGGGTGCGAACCGACGTGTGGGCGGGGCCCTCTCGGTGCCTTGGTGTGGCTGCCGGGCTTCATTGACGACACCGTAACAGTGACAGCTAGAGTTGACCAGGCTCCAGAGGAGGCGGTGGAGCGTGGTGGGTAAGGGAGCCGACTGCGGAGAGAGACGGCCCGGGGTGCGAAACCAAGAGCCTCCTTTCGCTGGCTCTGTGACTTGAAGGGACTTCTTTGTCTTTAGATTCCCCTAATTTAGCTCAAAGGGTTGCTATGACGTTCACAGGAGTTAAACCTGCCCAGATTACACAGCGCCAGGTACATCCTAAACGCTCAGTAAATGTTAGCTGCTATTAGATGCCAGGAGCATTAGCTACCGTAACTAATAAAATTACAGCAAGACAAGTTTTATGCCCTTTTTATCGAAGATAAAATGAACCCAGATGTTCACTTTCCTAAGGCAGCTCAGAGCAAACAGCACAGTTGGGATTTGAACCCAGAGTACTCAGACTGCTTGATTGCACTGAAGAGTTGATTTTGAGGAGAGTTTACCGCTCATTAGCAAGCTCTACTCTCTGAGCATCTGTTTCCTTGTCTGTAAAAGGAATTTCTCACTAACGAGATTCATCTATTCATTCACTGGACAGGTATTTGTTGCATGCTTGTCAGGTGTTGTGCTAGGTAACAGGGATGCAGCAGTGATCAACACACACCTGTCACTACCTCTGTCTGGAGTGTACAGTATGGCCAATTTTATGGAGGGTACAGTGAGATCATTTTTTGCAAAAGCTTTGTGAACTGTAGTACTCTAAATGTAAGAAGTGGATGAGCAGGGGAAAGTGGAGGAAATAATAAAGAAGGTGTCAGAAGGAAAGGGGTTGTAAAATAGGAAGCTCAAACATATGAGGGTGGTAAGGCCTCACTGAAGATGCTGAGTTGATTGGACAGCTATAGGTATAAAAACCCGTTAAGAAAATTGTTCTCTGTCTGGAGCAACAGCTGAGTATTATAATTTTAAAGTTTCACCTAATTTGAATACCCCTCAATGGATTGGTGAAGTTATCAGTAGGCAGTAGTTGATGCCTAATAAAGCAAGATTGTTAAAGAGGAGACGTACTAGGTCATGTAATTATTTTTCAGGAGGAATGAGATTTTCAGCCACTTGAGGACAAGCATTTCTTTTATCATTGTATGCACTTGCTTCCTTCATCCTGTGCCTACCTGTGTAGTAGGTATTCAGTAAATGTTTACTGAGTTGAAAATGGAGGGGCCTTGAGCACATCACTTGTTAGAATCTTGCTGTGGAACAAGGATATTGAATTTGTTTATGCTAATTTGTGTGGTACAGTAAGTAGTCTAATTAGGGAGCATGCACTGTTTTCTGTCTCATAAAGCTGAGTAATGAATCAGATTGATTTATGACTTTCCGTTTGGTAAGCTAAAGTAATAATAAATTGTAAACCTTTTTAAGGGCTAGAACAAATAATAAATGTAGGGAGCAGAGAAGGTGTCTGAACTTGAGTCATGTTGACTTTTTTTCTTTGTTTTTTTGGTCAGCAAATCTCTGAGTAACGAAGAAAACTTGAAACTATTTGGGAAATGCAACAATCCAAATGGCCATGGGCACAATTATAAAGGTGAGAGGAAAACTGATGAAATTTTAGCCCTTTCGATAAGGATGAAAGAGTATTCAGCAAACATAGTCTGAATGAGTAAGAAGCCTTATGGACAGAGCATGAATGCTTTGAGCCTTGAATGAGAAGTTAAATGGAAGTTCAAAATGAAAAGATCTGTTGCATTGGTTGGGTCTTAAGTTTTACCTTGCAATTGTCTGCTCTGTTACAGATAGTCCAAAACAATAAATGGTTTAAATAATTTTTTCCTTGGCCTTAGTGTACATAATGAGATTCTTTTGGCACCGAGTTTCCTACTAATTAGGTATCGCTGAGGCTAGTGTTAAAATTAGATTGTGTTCTTTGAGTAAATAATGACTGACAATAGGGGAATATTGGGTAGGAATGTGCTGTATGGCAGGAAAATAGATTGGGTCTAAAACTTTGCCAGCAGTGTTCCAAGAAAGTAATTAATTTATGCAAGGATAAGAGACTTGATTCTTTGAGATCTAGCTGATGTCTCAAAAAACAGCTACGTAAGCCATAGAGTATCACAGCATATGGTATGGTGGAGTAAAAAGACCAGAAAAGGTATCAGAAGATCAGAATTTGTAGTTTAGTTACTGCCCCTTACTTGATCTATGATATCTCTCATTTTTAGTTTACTCATTTATCACATAGTACCTAATGGTGTTTGTGTGGAGCTGAAAAAAATATATAAAAGTTATTAATTTGTAAAGCACTCTGACCATCAAGATCTTTCAAATGCTTCATACAAGCACTTGTTAATTTATACAGCATTCCTGTAAACCATATATACATTCATGTGAGTAAAGGGATAAGTTTTAGGCCCAGTAGTAGTTTTGCTTGCTCAGAAAGGTGCTGCCCAGAATTGGACCAGCTCAGTGTGTAGATGGACTTCTTCCATGTACATTTTCTACTTTTATAGGCAATGATTGAGCAGCGTCTTGATCCTACCTGTTGGAGATTCCTACCCAGTGCATCAACGTCATAAGCAGAATTTACACCCGTTTTGGCCTTGGCTAAGCTCCTCTGCTTAGCCAAAGCTCCAACTAAGCTCCTCTGTCTTGGTTGAGTCTTGCTTTAGTTGATAAAAAGATCTTTACTAAAATAGATGTTTGGGGGAAAATATAAATATAGCTTTGCAGGGCAGAGATCTGATACTTAATTTATGTTGCAAACTTGTGCTTGGTTGTTAATCTGTTGAAAGTCATGCTGGTTTTTCAGTATTTTGTTTTCTTTCCCATAGTTGTGGTGACAGTACATGGAGAGGTACGTGCTGAAAATATCTCTGTGGTTTGTGCAGATTGCTGGACCCTCTTTCAGCCAACGTGATGGATTCTGTGTTGCAAAATTCTTTTCAAATCGCTATTGCTTCATTGTTGACCTTTGTGTATGGTGAGCTGCTGCCATTCCTACCTTTCCTCTCCCAAAATGTCATCTTTAATGTGTTGTGTGTGGACAGGTAGAAGAGCAGTACAATGAAAAGGATGCCTGGAGCACTTGGTGTTTCCATGCTGAGATCGATGATTGTCTTGGGGAGGAAGGCAAATGTGGGCACAATTTCTGCACATTGTACAGTCTTTAATAATTTGCCAGAGGTTTAAATATGAAGGGCATACTATAGTAATAGTCACCTTTGTTTGTTCTTTAGATTGATCCTGTTACAGGCATGGTTATGAATTTGACTGACCTCAAAGAGTATATGGAGGTAATGACACGTTGGGTGCTTATTATGTGCTGTCCTCTAAGTCTAATATTTAATGGCCCCCTTTTCACTTCCCCAGCCAAGTATCTCCAGAGGTTCCATGACCTTGTGAGTGGAATTGGGTGTGGGAGTGGTGATGTACTTGGAGGAATTACTCTCGTGCTCTTCTAAAGCTGTTTGGGTGACTTAATGGAAATTAGTCGCAGTTGTATTACAATGATGGGAATGAATATAGCATGCTCATCTTGTATTTCTTGTTGGCATATCCTGATTTCCTCCATTTAACAAATTCTACCCTTCTTTCAAGATATAGCTTTTTCCTTGAAGCTTTTTTTCCCTTCTCTGAATTTTCCTTACTCTTTTAATCATAGATTTTAACACTACCCTATGTTATTCACTCTAGCTTTGTTATAAGCTCACTGGGGCAGTTCATCATAGGGATAACACAAAAGAAGGTTTGCAGTAAAGGACTTACTGATTGTATCATTATAGAATTCTTGTATGGAGATTATCTGGACCAATTTCTTTGTTCCATAGATGAAAATTAAGAAATACTGAACAATTAACCGACTTTCCCTAGGTCATGTGGTTAGTCCTTTACAAAGTGGGGAGTAGATTTCCTTCTATCCAGCTTAGTTTTTATTATGCCATCATTTCACTTGTTTCTTTAGTTCTTCTCTTCAGCTCTGCTCCTTATTTTTTGTTCTAAAATTTGACACTTATTTCATAAAAATCCTGTTATTAATAATCATTACTTCCTTCACATTATTTGTCATTCATATATTCGACAGTTTTGCCTACTTTGCCTCAGTCTTTGAGTTAAGTGCTAGGAATACAAAAATGCCTGAGACATAGCCCCTCCCCACAGAGTGCTCACATTCCTTTTTCTAACAAGTGAAGAATAAGTGCTCAATCAGTGTTGGTTGAATAAATGAATAAGAGAATGAGTGAATGAACAAGTAGTACTGTGCTCAAAGTTCTTTAGGAAAGCTGTAAAGACAGAGTTCTTGTGTTTACTGGGGACATAAAATGTATATACACACAATGTTGTACAATACAAGACAACAGTGTGAGAAATATGAGACATTTCAAGCAAGCATATGATTAAATACTAGAGGAAGAGGATTAAATACTTTTTCCCACCTTTGAATACCTGAAGGGCACCACACACTCCCATCAGTAAAAGTGGCTCATCATGGCAATACAGAGTAAAGTTAGAAAGAGCCCTGTAGAAGAGGCTTTGATGGAAAAGTTGGGACCTGAACTGGAATTGAAGATAAAACAAAGAGTTATTTTCTTGATATCTATGGGGATATAATTTGATCTATTTTAAAGGTTATTTGGTTTAGGGCTTACTCTTTTTATATGATTCTGGTTTTTCTCAGAAAATGATTGCTATTATTGTTATTAATGTACCCTTCTTGGAACCATACCATATGTAAAATTAGATTGTTTCACAAATGCTTAGATTTTGTACAGTAGCTTAAAAGTAAAAACTTAGAATAAGGCAATTACAATTCTTGCCATTGACAAGGAAAAACATTATGTTTGTATACAGTCACATGTCCCTTAACAACAGGGATACATTCTGAGAAATGTACCATTAGGCAGTTTTGTCCTTGTGCGAACATCATAGCGTGTATTTACACAAACCTAGATGGTATAGCCTACAACACACCTAGGCTATGTGGTACTAATCTTATGAGACCACCATTATATATGTGGTCCATCGTTGACTGAACCGTCGTTATGAGTGGTGCATGAAACATTAGGAAGCAATAGTCTTTGCGTATTTATGTTTTTTCTCCTAAAAGCCCAAGGTCATTCTTAAGTTACTTCTTATAGCAGAAATTTAGAACTACTTACATAATTTCAGTCTTAGTCTGCTTTATAAAATGTAGTACTCACTGGATCTTTGTCCTAATGACATTGTGACAGTGTGCTGAAGGTGAGACTGTTATGGAGAAGTATTTCTGGTAGCTTTTTGGACAGAATTTAAGAAGTGTTAAACTGAATCCTGAATCACAATGGCTTGTTACGAGAAAGCTCCAATGAATTCTCCTCTACTTTTTGGTGTCTTACCTCGTTGCATTCAGTAATGAGGATAACCAGTCATTATGGAGAGCTGTGCCTTACTTTATTTTACAACTTTAAACTTTCTGAGATTGCTTTATAAGACACAGATATAGTACTTACAAGTACTGAGTTAGTGGCTAAGTGATAAGGTAAGGTTTAGAGGCGAAGGTGGAATACTTTGGAATTTGAGTCATAAATGGAATCAGTGATGTTTTTCCTTTGTTTTGTTTATAGGAGGCAATTATGAAGCCCCTTGATCATAAGAATCTGGATCTGGATGTGCCATACTTTGCAGATGTTGTAAGGTGAGTGTGACTATCTTGCCTTATATAAATAGTAAGAAAGAAGAATTGATTTTAACATTTTGTGTGATTACTGTGTGATTTCTAAAGTTTTAGTTTAATGATATATTTTTAAAGCTAGAATTTCTGTTCTCTGTAAACATTAAGCATGAAATTTTGTTTATTTGCCTCTTGATCTTCTTTTCTTTTCTTCTGCAGCACCACAGAGAATGTAGCTGTATACATCTGGGAAAACCTCCAGAAACTGGTTCCTGTGGGAGTTCTTTATAAAGTAAAAGTATATGAAACTGACAATAATATTGTAGTCTATAAAGGAGAATAGCTCTTACAGGTTAATACTATAAACAGATTTAATTTCTTTCCATATTTGAAAAAGGTCTTTATCCCCTTGGACTATTAACAAGTCATCATATAATTGTTGCACCTCCACACTGTGTTCTGGAGCACCCGATTCATTGAAATCATTGTGAGTAAGACCTATTTTAGAGTCAAATCTATCTTAAAACTAAATTTGTAATGTATCCTGAGTATCATTTAGAGAGTCTTTTATCTATAGATTAAAAATCACTTCATTTCAGCAAAATGTTTTGGTGTAGAATTATTTGAAAGCAAAAGAAATCTATTTTTGTTTTTCCATTATCTCATTTTTAGTATTCATTTTTCTCTTGGTATAATATAAATGGCAAAAATGTTTATAGGACTTATGGTAGGTGAATCTTAAAAAAATAAAATACAGGTGACCACAAAATCTGGAAACATAAACAACATATATTTTTTAATAGATTGGACTTCCTTGATTACTTTTTTAGGGTATGCTAAAGGCACAAGTTTATTCAGTGAAAACTAGATGCACAAATCATCTGAGGCAATGCATTGTAGATGGATGTACAAGGATGGATGGAAATGCTGCGTTAGTGCACATTGTTCATTGCAGTTTTGCACAGCTTATTAAACTGTGAATTGCTAGTGAGGAACAGCACATTGAACATGTCATGGAATATCAGTAAACTACTTATTATGTATATTTGTGCATGTTTCCAGACCTATGGCCACCTGAACAGTTTTAACTCAGAAGACTGAAGGATAATCATATTAAACCCTATTAATATATTAAACCCTATAAACCCATATATTAAACCCTATTAAATAATCAACACAAAAAGGATATATTGCTCTGTAAAGCATCTCTTGTATACAGTTTTTCCTAATTGATCCCATTTTGTTCTGGTCATTAAACTTACCTGCTGAAGTTGAACTATATTCTTGGCATTCATCTCTGGTATCTTTTTCTCATGACTAAATCCACAAGAATGTTATTTGCTTGCTTTGCACAAAGAACTATTCTGTCTGGTGTTCTCATTTGTATTCTAAACTTCTTTTTTTTTTTTTTTGTGAGGAAGATGGGCCCTGAGCTAACATCTGCCAATCTTCCTCGTTTTTTTGCTGAGGAAGACTGGCCCTGGGCTAACATCCATGCCCATCTTCCTCTACTTTATATGGGACGCCGCCACAGCATGACTTGCCAAGTGGTGCCTTGGTGCGCGCCCGGGATCCGAACCGGCGAACCCTGGGCTGCCGCAGCGTAGCGCGTGCACTTAACTGCCTGTGCCACCGGGCCGGCCCCTAAACTTCTTAAATATAGAGTTTTACTTTTCTCTCCAAGTAGCAACTAATACACAATGTATTCTCAGAATGTTGCCATCTGAGGATAGCAAAAGGACTTGTGCAGTGATTTAATTTCTGCAAATACCATGCAAGGTGGGTATTATTTGACAGATGAGAAAATTAAAATTGAGTGAGTTTAAGCTACTTGCCTAAGATCACTCAGCTAATAAATAGCAAACTGGGTGTTGGACACTTAGGGTCTTCCTGACTCCCAAACACAGACTGTATAAAAAGGATAATGTATGTATATTTCAAGATTTTTTTTTAAATGCCAAATTTTGCAGATCTGATATCATATTAGAAAAACACTATTTTTCATAGTAACGTGGACACTCCAGGTGTTTGTTGTTTATGAGTTACTTCAAGAGAGCACTTTTTTTAACTTGCTTTCCTTAGGAAAGTGAGAATTCTGTATCTGTCTGTCTGTCTATCTATCTGTCTGTCTGTCTATCTGTCTGTCTCTTGAGTGAGTGAGTGAGTGAGCAGATGAGTGAAGGACCAAAGGTAGTATGTAGGTGATTTTTTTCCAAGTCTCCCTAGAACCTGCTCTCGGAGGCCTTGTCAAGCTATATTGTAGTTGTTGCTCTACCTTTCTGTTTTTTCACTACCCTGAATCCCTTATGGCCAAAGTATTTATTCTAAGCAGAGTATCCGGTTAATAGTACTCAATTTTTTGTTTATTAAATAAATGAATGGCATATTGGTAGAAACTGCTGAAATTTTATAGTGACTTATACATAGTGGACACTTAGTAAATATTTTTAGAATTGAATAACGTGAAAGTTTTGGGGCTTGAATTCTAGTCCTAGTGCTGTTACTATTCAGTTGTGTCACTTTCATCTCAGAGCCTCAGTTTCTTTACCCATGAAATGAATGCTTGGACCAGATGCTTTCTGAAGTTGCTTCTGCCTGTTCTCAGATTTTATATCTCAATGATTTTAAAGACCAAATGAGTAAATATTAATTTAGAGAAGGAAAAAGATTATTATGGGGTGGTGAGGTTTGGAAAAGCTTAATGGAGGAAATATGAGGATGAGTGATACTTAAAGTGATGGGGCAGGGAGAGTGGTGGTTTGGAATTCAGGAGGAAAAAGGGAATATATACTGAAAGGGTAAAATTTCATTAGTGAGGTTACTAAGGTGGGAATGTACAAAGTATATTTGGGATATAGTGAGTAGATTAACCTTAAGAGAGTGGTGATGAGGTGTGAGTGTAATGGGAAGTTACCCTGGAAATATAGGATGGGGACAGCCTGGAGAGCCTTGAATATCAGTTTGGGGTTTTTATCCTTTTTGGAAGAGGGAGCTTTTGAAGTTTTGTTTGTTTTTTAAGGAAGATAACCAGCTGGACAAAGGGAATTGAGGAAACCAGTTGCAAAGCCATTGCAAGGATCTAAACACAAGGTGGTAGGTGTCAGGAGCATGGTGCTGGCAGTGGAAATAGAGCGACAGAGGAGGGAAAAGAGAGCTAACGTTGTGCAGTGCCTATTGTGGTGTCAGGCATTTTGCTAAGGACTTTTCATATTATCTCACTTTATCCTTATAACCACCCTGCAGGGTGAGTGTATTAGTTATCTACTGCTGCATAACAAGTTACCCCAAACATAGTAGCTTAAAACAATGCACATTTATTATCTCACAGTTTTAACGTACCAGAAATCTGGATGTGGCGTAGCTGGGACCCCTGGCTCAGGATCACTCACAAGGCTGCAGTCATCTCAAGGTTTATCTAGGAAGGGTCAGCTTCCCGACTCGTGGTTTTTTGGCAGGATTCAGTTCCTCATGGGTTGTTGGACTGAGGCCTCAGTTCATCCCTCCCTTTCTTGCCGTGTAGACCTCTTCATAGAGCAGCTCACAACCTGGCAGCTTGCTTCATCAGAGTGAGCAAGTAAGAGGGCAAGGGAGAGAGTGCCGTCAAGAGAGGGGGAGAGGGATAGGAGGAGGAGGAGGGGGAGAGATGAGAGGTAGGAGAGGGAGGGCTAGCAAGATAGAAGTCACAGTCTTGTAACCTAATCACTTTTTCTGTATTTTATTCCTTAGAAGCAAGTCACTAGATCCATCCCACACTCGAGAGGAGGGGATTACACATATATTCTAGTGTGTAAAGTGTGAAGTGAGAATAGCAGAAGATGAGGCTGGAAAGGTAGGCAGGGAGCATGTATCATGCCTGTTTTCACCCCAGGGGAGTAAAGCACATCTCATTTTACGAGAGTGAGACATCAGAGCAGCAGTAGTGGTTTCCAGTGGGAATGGCGGGGTTTGTTGGTAGGTAAATATAAAAATCTTATGATTCTTGAAATTAAAACCAACTCTAAGGTATGATGTTAATAAAAATTATATTGGCCATATTTCTGAACTGAATGACCAGAAGCCAGCTATCATCTGTGTTGCCTTAATTGATGTAGTCACCACCAATGGGTTATAAAAATGGCCAGAATAATACGATCAGTTGTGTGCTTCTCGCCCCTAATAGACTATACCTAAGATAAGTGTCCATTTTGTTTTTTAAACTCCAAACTTTTACTTTCCTCCTGGAAATGAAATTGTCCTCAAGATGGGAAACAGATTGTGCTCATTTTGCTTTGTTGTGCCTGGGATATTTCTAGCCTCCCTTGCAGACAGAAGAATCATTGTTAGTTTTGCACAATTTAACTTTATAGCGAGATTTTGTTGCAAGACACTTTTGGAAAATGTCCCAGATAAACGCCATCTCCACATAGTGGCAGAGACAAGTGCTATCCCCACAAAAGAAAAGTGGGAGAAGGGGGTTCTTGCACTGGAGGATTTTCAGTGCGGCACTTATGCTTCCAAGGAGTTCATTGGTTACTTTGCTTCCTTCAGAATCCACCCATGCACTCCTGCTATTCTGTCACCATCGAGACACGAGTATTCATCATTAAAAAAGGGAATTAGAACACTGTTCTTTTTTTTTTGCTGGTTGTTGGCTAAAGAAACGACATCCCAGGCTTGTCTTCTTAAAAATGCTCCAGAAACAAGTCCTCAATACTTAAACCCAAGTTTACCCTCATCCAACCAGTTTATCATCAGTGAAAATTCCCGATTTAGTATGCTAATAAGTAAGATTAAGTTGAAAAACCCTTTTAACTTTTCACAAATATCTTAATAAATATGAACACTGTGGCTGATGACAACCTGAAGAAATAGAATGGCTAGTGTTCTTTTACCTTTTCAAGTTTTTATTTGCCCACAGATAGAACTGCATAGGAGTAGTTGGGTGTCTTATGGGCACTTCAAACTTAACATTTCCAAAAGTGACTTTCTGATTTCTCCTTCAGAATCTGTTCTTCACCAGTCTTCCCTAGAAATGCCATTATTATCCATCCATTCATATTTTCAAGCCAGAAACCTGAAAGTTGTCATTAATTCCTACCTGTTACCTCTAATCTATCAGAAAGTTCTATTGGTTCTACCTCTGAAGTATATAATGATTTTTGTCTCTCTCTCCATTTCCAATGCCACCACCCCAATCCAGACTGCCACTGTTTCTTGCCTGGGTTACTGACATGGTCTCTTAGCTAGTCTCCTGCTCCCACTTTTGTTCTCTTCAACACTCCTGTCACCTACCCCTCCCCACCATGTTACCTCTTGAAAGCTTCCTCTTGCTTTTAAAATAAAATCCAAACTCCTCTCACTGGCCTGCCAAGCCCGTATGATCCAGCCACTGCCCACTTACCAGCCTCAAGCCGTTCACTATGTTTTGGTCACATTGGCTTTTTCTCAAGTCCTAAAGCACACCAATTTCATTCCTGCCCCAATATCTTTGCTTTTTCTGCACTTCTTCCTGGAATGCTGCCCCTACCCACCCTCCCCCCCCATCCCCTTCATAAAACCTAATCATCCTTCAGATCCCCAGCGTAAATGTCACCTTCTTGAAGAAGCCTACCTTGATCACCCTGTATAAGTAGAAATCCTCTTTATTTTCTATTATAATACTTATATACTCCCCTTTCTTGCAGTTTTAAAATTTTATATATATGTTTCCTTTTGTCTTATTTATTTGCTTGCCAGCTTATTGTCTATCCCAACCTCGAGGATGTCAACTTCATGACGGCCGGAGCCCTG